CAAATCTGTGTTGCATTTTTGACGGTGGGGTTCCCTATAACACAAGTATATGTACAGATAATGTATGCTTATAAATATACAATAATACAAAATGAAAAAGAAAAAAAGATGGAAAGAAAGAAAAAAAAAAAAATCATAATACCAAGACGAGTAATACTAGAAAGGCTAGAGCAATCAAGTGTCAGCTACTCAGTTGGCGTATCCCAGTATAAAATACCCCATTTTGGCCAATTCCAGTTCTGGCTACCCTGTTTTGGTCTTTCCCAGTGTGAGGTATATCAGCTCAGCCTATCCCAGCACAGACTACCTGAAGTGCTAGGTAACAAGTGCTTTGAAAACGAAACATTTCATCCTAGGTACAATACCGAAATTTACACATTTGCAACTCTAACCTAATATACTCAACTGTCTATAAGCATGCAAATTTCTTTTAAAATGATTACTCATTTATTAGATAGGTATAAAATTTTCTTACATAAGAAAATACCACAAGAAGCAGAAACGTGAAGGAAATATTTCAATGTATTATACATTTATTTTATAGTGAGTATTAACCATGAATTTAACAGATATATATACAAAAAAAAAAGAGAATGTGCAACGTATCTATATGTACACACACTCACACAAACACAAGCACACACCTACAGACACACAATTAGTCTGAATAATGAAATTCATCTACATTATGTTTATGCAGTATTCTTTTTGAATTGTTCTTGCATTTTATGAACATGTTTATGCTGCATAATTATGATTCTGGCTTTCTATTTTTTATTATAGTAGATATATGAGAAGTTCAGCTTTATGTGTGTTAATGACTTACATGTGTAACTGGGTTGTCACAAACTACTGTATTGCTGTCTTGTATATCTCTGCATCATAAATATTTCCTACATTACGTATACCAAGGGTCACATAACTTTATCAATTTATATATTCTCATTTGTATTGTATAACCTCTAATGTACAAATGATATCTTTTTTGTACTTTGGCAATAATGTTAACATTGTGACAACACTGGGAAAGCTTCCAATGGAGCTACATGTTTGCCTGAATGATCTACCTCCAAATTGGAATTTCCTAGGGGAAAGAAGCTACAACACTGCCATGGTTGTTTCTTTCATTCAACCTACTCAACATTATGAATTTCTACACCATGTGATTATAATCAGCAATTATCCCAGTAGAAGAACAAAACAAGATATAAAAAAATTTAATAACTAAGGAAAAACTAACAAAATACAAAAGACTAACTTTCATATAGTTCAGAAGAGCCAGAGATGTCTCGGCATCATCTTGGGTCTCGATGAAAACCAGTTTGTGCCTCTGTAGGTCACTGATGATACCATGGTCATACCACGTGGCCACTACACTCTCCAGGTACAGGTAAGATGTGAAGAAACACACCATTCCTTGATTTGAGAATAAGAAAAAATAGTTCAGTATTATTGACTATGGCACATACTTTAGAGCTGCCTGTTGTTACATACTGTTCATAGAAAAATCTAATGAAAACCATACATTCCTTCCATTATATAAATCTTCACGTGACTATAAAATCAGCAATATAATATATACATTTGGTTACCACTGGTTATCATTTTACCATTACTACTTAAACAAATAATACATAGCATGCACCACAAAGTTAAAATGAATACCAATATTAATATATCTATTTCCAAATCTTTATAACACTAGTCAAATAAGTGCATATAATAGCAAAACTCAGATACCTATTAACCTAGTATATATAATATGCAGAATTGTAACTGTAATATAATAATAGCAACTTATTACCATCAGGTACAATTGTTCCCATTTCTACTAAAAGCTTCCCATAATTTCTGACAACAGCTGGATCTTCTCTGGACTCAAACTTGGACGAGATGGCCACTTGGTCATTGCCCTTGGTCACAATCTGGAATGGAGAGTGCGTACTGTAACCCCCTTCAGCATCATTCACTGCCGCATCCCTATACCTCAAAATAAATAATTATCATGCTTTACCATCAGATATTATACAAACAAAATATTATTATATTTATATTTAAATCAAATTTATCCTATTAACCCACTGATGCTAGGATGGCAAAAATACATGACATGTCTACTATGATTCTAGTTTACTAACTGTGTATACACATAGATGAGTTAATTACTATTCTTACCCACCTCACCTGTTTACCCTTTTTTTTTTCTTCTTTTTTGGAAAGTTTCTTACTTCTTATTGCTACTAGTATTAAAAACATTATAATAATTGTACTATAATAATAATAACAGTAATAACAGCTTTAACAATAGCATAAAAAAAAAAAACATTTTTCCTGCAAACTCAAAGAAAGGGGAGTTCAGGTGAGGTCATACACACCTATTAATTAGCTTCATGGTGGCTTTGCACTAGTGTAGCTATTTCGTGCAAACAAAATTCACCAAAAAGTATAGTGTATAGTATCTTGCAACAATGGGTTAATATTACATGATATACATATTACATTACATTGCATGATAAACATTTCATAACTATAGTATATGATCCTATTTTGCATGTAAAAATATTATCATAAATATATATATATTATACCATATAATACAACTATATGCATTTAATGTTATGCTCCCTCAGTACTTACCATTGGAAGAATACAAGGTCTAGCAAGTGTCATGGTGAAAGAATTCTGGATCACAGGGTGGAAGTCCAAGATCTTAGGATACATGTCCAACGGTGAAAGAGTTCCAGAGGTAATGACAACTGTCTGGAACTTTGTGAAGACTGGTTTGATTGCAAGCGACGAATCCAAACACCTAAGTCATAAAGAAACAGAAAATATTCTTGCTGCTTCTTTTAAATTCACAATTTCAGTTTAGATGTCTGAAATGGTAAATGACAAATACATAAATCTGTTTTGATCATATTTGTTAGTCAGCACAGTTTTTATTAAAGATTGAAATGTATTCTGAGTCTTGTGAATAAAGCATTGGGCTCTTTAATTTCAAGAGAGTGTTTATCAGGTGAAAGCAGCAGTACATTTACTCTATTTAGCATTGAGTTCAAAAAGTCTTCTGAATTCAATAAATCTGAACAATCCTGAGTTTGTTGTCTTCCTCATAAAACTAAACAAAGCTTTACAACCTCACCTCAAGTACAATATTGGATTGGGAATATTTGGAGCCTTGTCTTCAAAGGGCTCAATAATGACGACAAAACCCTGCAAGTATGTGGAGACAAGGGTGGCAAAGTGAGCAACAGCTACGAGGGGTGAGATGTCCGATATATCAGTCAACTCTAACGTTCTTACAATGGAGGAGAGGCGTTCAGAGCAAAACCTAGAAGAAAAAAGTGTAATTAAATGGAAGTAAACACACTTAAATATGCATGCAAATGACCAAGTGTATTAAACTTTAGATAAACAGATAGAACTCTCTCACATACAAATACAGACAAAAAAAGAGCTAGAAATATGAAAATATATAAAGTACATATGAGGTTCAATACCATTTTTTGACAGATATACTGTCATTAACTTTCATAGCATTAAACAAAAACATCAGTTCAAATAATCACAATCATTCAGTTGCACATACCTCAGGGGTTTTCGATCAATGAAGGCTCTGTTTTTCAGATCCTTCAGGATACCAGCTGGCGACTCCTGGACCGCATGTGTGACAGCCAACCTCATTTTCAGGAAGTCAATCAAGCGCCGCATGAATGAGACAAAGTAATCGGCTGTCCTGATGTTCCCAGGGACATTTTCTGAAATCGAAAGTTATAAACCATTGGACTAAAGAGATAAAATATTCATATAAATGTACACCTATACTGGCAGACCTGTTTTATATTTCCCATTTAATTCATAATCTTGTTTATTCTATTATAAGACGATAAATATATCATTATTCTCTCTATCTACCTTTATTTATCATGGAACAGAGATGAAAACCACTACAATTGCTTTATCTCACCTTCTAATAAATCTTTTGGCAGGATAGGATTTGCTACAATATGCTCTTGGTTAGAAGCACGCCGTAGCCCTTCCACAAGACGACTATATTCGTCTCTTAACCTGTTGCTGTCAGACTCCTTTATCCTGCAAGTTGGATAAGTGGGTTAGAATCCAGCATAGCTTAAGTAAGTAAACAATGAGTCAGCTTTCTCTGATCAGGATTCATAATCACTTAATTCACTTGGAGATTCATAACTGCTTTATGTCTATCATTCCTCTGGTATTCAGAGTCATAATACATAATGAGATTTACTGTTTGAAACATGTCCTAAAACACGATTCATACTCAATAATAAGATTAACAAACTGCTAACTCGTAACAGGACTCACAATTTCCTAATTCATTACTGGACACATAATGCACCATTTCATTTTAGGATTCATAATTCATGAACCCCTAACTAATGCATAACAGGGGTTCATGATTCACTTACTACATGACTCATTTATAATGTGATACATATTGCACTGATTACTAATTCAATTAAAATGCTCCCAATAATACCTTTTCTTCCCTGTTGATAAAAACTTCTATATAACATCAATACATCCTTTTATCAATTGTCATTTTTATCTATAAGAAATCAGAACTAAATTGGTTACTGACTATTACATCAGAAAAGGCGGAAAAAGAAAGAAAATGAAAGAAAAAAACAGTATTACTGGAGAAAAGAAAAACTAGTTTACAAAGAAATTACAAATGATAAAAAAGAAGGAAACAAAAGAAGAACAAAAAAGAACAAGAGTTGATGAACACTACATTACCTTGATATATGTTCATGTAAGCTGTTAAGACTGGTTTTGGCCTTATCCAGTACTCTTCTATTAATATTTATACTCATGGAGTCAATGCAAATATTGTCTGGGGAAATACACAAGGCATTAATTACATCATGTTATTTGTTTGCTATCTGTAAAGCATTCTTAACAGTGGATAATAATGGGGAGAAAATAATCAATATTAACAACCTTCAACCAATAACATTCTTTTATCCTTTCTAGCTTTATTATTTTTTTTTTTTTACAACTTTGAATATCCTTACAAATATCTCTCATCTCCACTTCCTTTTCTCTACACCATTCCTCCTACTTTATTTATGAAATTTAATTCACTTACCAATGTTGTGAGCCTCATCGAAAACAACACAAGCTTCGCTCTTCATCTCTTTCGATACTATTTCGGAAATCTTTGGATCCAGCATGTAATGGTAGCTGTAGACTACGATATTTGCTTGTACTATCTAAAATGAGGCAAAAAAGTAAGAGGAAGAATGATTAAAAAATATATCAGTTAAAGAAAATTATCTTCATCATTCATTTATATGTAAACCATGTGTGACATCCTTGGAAATCTGCAGGTATACACAGTCAAATCAAGTTTACTATCCATACTCCTACATACCCTTGCCAATTACAAACAGGTCTTTTCCTAACAATTACCATCTTATTCTTCAAAATGACTAACCTTTAATATAAGTATCCTTGATCTTTTCTTTGCAAAAATCACGAATCACATTTAGCTAAAATAATTTTAATAGTATCTACCACCAATCTTTCTAATACTAACCAATGTACTTTTTCAAATCCATCAGTCTCCCTTTCCATTGTTATTATGAGGCTTACTCTTATTCTCAACTACCTTTAATATTCCTTATGAATACTCCCTGACCACTGACAAAAGTTAAAGCTTTTAAGCTGGTGAGTCTATCAGGACAGAAAAGACAATAGTAATCTCTTTAACATATCTGCTTCACCAAACAAAACACTTACTGCATGCCTGGCCAAGAAGTATGGGCACCATCCCTTCTGTCTGCCAAACTCCCGCAAGTCATCAAGGTTGTATGTGCCTGCTGGCAGGGGAAATTCCTTGCCATGGAGATCAAACTGTTCAAAGTAGTCACACTGTGGCACTGTGTCATCTCTCTGGGCCCTGGATCTTACATATGAGGCTGTCAGTGCATAGCATCCATTGTCAACAAGCTTTCCTTCCCTTGCCTTACTGACCTGCAATGACAGTCAATAGGTTCAAGATACCAGAAAGAAAAAGACGTAATTCTTGTGAACTACCCAAGAAAATAACATATAGTCTTAAATACTAAAAATAAAAATAAAAAATATGTCATTTAATAATTACAAAAAAATATCACAAAAAAATGCTCAAAAGACATGAAAGCCATCAGAAAAACTATGTATTATCCATGTACACAATACTACAATATAATACAGTAACAGTCAGTGCATCAGACCTCAGGATTCACACACAGGTGCTTTCTGGAGGCTAATGCAAGGCCAGTGATGTTTGCAGGTTCTCCAGTCTCCTTTTCAATGTAGTTCTTGAGCTTCTTCAACTCTGCAATTACCTGAAACCAATAAGGATGCTGTAATTTCATTTTGACATTACTGATATAGTGAAAGGCAAGAGTTGCAAAAGAAAAGTATTAATAAATCCTTTATATAACATTTAGTAAATCTAGTCAAGTTTACAAATATAAATACATGTCTAATAAGCATATGAACTATTACCTTTAAATAAACAGGGGAATAAATAAGACATCTTGGGTGACATGTCATGTGGATGGTTGTAACCCAATGAGCCCAGACGCCTACAGAAACTTTGATCCAGGTGACATGAGAATCAGGTCATGAAAAAATGTGGCTTGAGGAGTGAGTGATGTAAACATGCCGTCATGGGAAAAAGTGGCCATGGGCTGGGTGATGCAATCATAAACAACCATCATACCTTTTCCAGCTCAGGAATAGTTCGGGAGCAGTAAATGAGCTTTGTGAGATTCTGCGGGAAAGCTCGGAGGTAGGACACAATGAGCGACAGCAGCGTAATGGTCTTGCCTGTCCCCGAAGGCATCTCCAGTATGCAGTGTCCCTGAGGAAGTGGAATTATATACTTATATAAATCTCTTTACTGGAGCATATTCATTATGCCTTTTGTTAACAATTTCTCTTTGCTAACCAGCAACAACATTATGTTGAACTGAATATCCCCTGCAATCAATCTTCCTACACTCTGTCCCACAAACAATAACAAACACACCATTCTACCTTAGCATCAAGACTTCTCTTTAGGTCTAACATGTAAGAATACTGTTCTGGGTAGATGAAGTCATAGGGGAAGAAAACCTGCATGCCATCAACGTCCAGCCTGCAAAGTAAAACAAAAGTTTTTTTTTAACATTACAATGATAAAGCAATAAAATTTAGATAAGATTCACAGACAAGAATAATTTTCAACTTCATATATTCCATATATTGCTAAACTAACAGATTATCACAAAATGTTATTTCAAACACTAGGATGTTCAAAATATATCATCATATGAGTATTTATTCTTATATCAGTTCACTATATTGTTTAAGATGGGGATTATAAGGAGAGGGTTTTGGAAACATTAATCAATATGTCAAGCAATGGATTTCTGATACAAGAATAATGCTTAAAAATGTATGATCATATGTGGACACAAGAAAAACAAAAAAAGCATTAACAAGACTCTGATTACTAAAAGCTCCTTATCAATTTCCCTTTCTTGTCTTGTTTGCCTTTACTTCAGCTCTGTCTACATATAACCTACCATTGATATCTTTAATATTCAAAACAGTAAAAGATGCAAGTTGCATGGAAGTTTCTGCTCTGTATGAATATGTTGTCATGACACAATAGATACTATGTTTAAAAACTAAAATAAGACTGTACAATAAACTGTAGCAGCCCATGACTTGTACAAATCCACATACACTTTATCATTAGTATCTGATATGTAAAATAATCTTTACTTGCAGCTACATATTATCAGACAGCTCTTAATAATGTAATCTTGAAGAGCCAGTTGGTACCTATTTTGGGCCCCAAGGCAGTAGCTTAAGTAAAAATTGGCCCTTGAAGGGTTTTAAGTTTGACATCCCTGATCTACATACTGCTGGTTTGTTAGAATTGTGCGAGGCCTGACCCAAAGAATATTTGTATACCTGACATGCATAAATAAAGAAATAAATGCATATTTATCCATCTAGACATGCATATCAACTGGGCGAATAGATAGTTAAATGTATATCTATCAGATATATAGACAGATATGCCTTTATTTCTACGTCTGTATTTATGAAAATTCATTGGCTCAGGCCTGTCACAATTTTAACAAACCGGCCGATAGTCTAAAAGGACAGTAACAAATATTACCAAAATAATCATAGTGAAGGTTTCTTGATCTTTGCTTTAGTGCCACTAGGGCTACACACTTTGCCAATTGGAACAAAGCTAATGGAGGACACATGGGTGTTTTCTAAAATATTTGCCACAGAATTTCATCCTATAAGCTGTCTTAATGATAATGTTGCTAGAAAAGAATAAACTTGAGGTAAGACTTCTATAATGAAACCATTGCAGTAACTCAGCAATTACCTTTATCTTTGCCTTTGCCTGTATTTTTCTTTACTTTAGTGCCATCAAGTTCTTACATATAGTCTTAAATTATTGAGATCCAATGGATTTTGTGCAAGTTTTTCTAATAGCAGTCACAAATTTAAAACAACACACAACTCAATTTTTGGTTGAAAAATACCTAGTTTTCGAGTCTATTACCGTTCTCTCCATAGGCCATGGAAAACTGTTTTGTATTTCTATGTGCAAAAGATTGCATAAGTGAATGATTAGGTTAGGCTGGGTTGTCCTGGGTTAAGCTAGGCTAGGTTAAGTTTGGTTACGTTAGATTGGGTTGGGCGAAGTTATGTTAAGTTAGAATAGGTTATATTAGGATAGCACAGGTTAGGTTAGGTTAGGTCGGGTTACAATGGCATAAGTTAAGGTGGGTCGGGTTAGGATAGGTTAAGGAGACCTCCACCCTGAATTTTCAATTTTTAACTAAAAAAACAACAACAAAAAAATGAGGGTGATTTGGCAATAATGCCTTACACTGCAACAAAGTTTTATAGGAAAATTATAAAAACTAAAGACAGTGGTCTTTTTTGATACCCCATGTGTATCATGAAGTAACAAGGAATCAGCAGAGAATGCAAAAGGCAACAAAGAAAAGGCTTGACACGAGGGCTGACTACCAGCCAAGAGCATTTTAAATGTTGATGGCTTACCTTTCAGTATAAATATGCGAGTATCCTGCATAATTTTTTTTTTCTTATGATTTCTTAAAAACTGATATGATTTCCTTAATTCATGTCGCATTTTGTAGCATATTTTTTGAAAAAAGCAATGAAACATTTTTTTTATCCTTATGAAATTTCAATATCAAATATTGAGACTAATAAAAGGAATATCAAAAAATCATTAGTAAAAGTTCTAGATAAGAAATGAAGGATGTTGCTTAATCTTTCTCAGCGACTTTGGCCTTTTATTGTGATATAAATTAGCCTGACAGCATGGAGCACCAAGCAAGAAAAATTATGATTCTATTTTCTAATTCAGACATTTACTCATAAAATGAATTTAAAAGTCGAGATGTAATTGTTCAATAATCATACCAACCAGAAAAAACATATAAAAAAATCAAAAGTCCCACGTTAAGGGTACTCATATTGGATGGTGACAGTCCTCTTAAGTTAGGGTGGGTTACATGAGCTTAGGTTAGGATGGGTTGGGTTAGGATAGATTTGGATAGATTAAGTTAGGTTATGTTGGGTTGGTTTACATCAGTTTAGGTTAGATTGGATTGAGTTAGGATAGGTTATGTTAGGTTATGTCTATTTAGGTTAGGTTAGGCTTGGTTAGGAAAGGTTAAGATTGATTAAGCTGGACTAGGTTAAATTGGCTTAGGTCAGATTAAGACACTTTGGATTAATAGGAATGCAAACTAAATTTTCTAGTCAATTTAATGTGTTATGGATGTACTTTTCTTTCTTTTTTTGTCAAAAAGTAGCTTAAATATTTTGGAAATTTAATTTCCAACAAAAAAGTATGCCAAATTACCTCAAAACACACCAGTCAATACCAGAACGTTTAGTTTGCATTGTTACTTTCCAGGTGGGC